TTACTGTCCCATCTTCTCTGATGGTTTATGTTGCTATTTATAGAGACGTGCATTTTAAAGGCAGAAAATAATGATCTAGTCATCACTACACACTTCCCCAGGCTGTCTTTCTTATTCTAAACACAAAGGTGTTAGAAAGAGTTTTCAGAAAATGCTGGCCCTTTAAGAGAGCCAGGTGTTGGATTTGTTTACTGCTGAGTGTGCTCTATTCTCTGTCCATCAATTCAGATGTAGAGTCTGATGTTTTAGGCTTTAACTAAGAATCTACAATGAGTAAGTAAAATGTGTTCAAATGTTTTTGAGGGTTTATAAAATAAGGCTGTGTTTTAAGTTATATTGTTGTGATCTTGAACTGTGTACTTGAAAGCTACATTGTTAGCTAGTTAGTCTCTCCTCATATAACTTCTTACATTACTTTTGTTTAAGTATATGTGTTTATTGGATATTGCATACTGCCATAATGTACAGATGTTAACAGTTGTATGTATCTTTCTGGCAACTAAGCAAAAAATTAAATTCCTTCATCTCAGTAAGGTAACTTGTGCACATCATCACAGGGAATCACAAAAACATGATACACATAGCCATCCACACACAAAAGCTCCTCTGTCAGGTCCCAGGTTGTGAGTTTGTTGCTAAGTTTTTTTCAGAGCAGTATTTCCACCTATGAATTTATATTACAAACAATAAAAAAGTTTGTTGTCATGAGATAATTATAACAATAAAAGATTGGATCCTTTGGTTTTTTGGTGTTGCCAACTTTATTTTTATTTTTTATAATTATTTTAAACTTTTATTGAGATTTGACAGTTTTTAATTATTTAAAACTTTAAAATTTAAAATAATTATGTTGTTTTTTGCTGTTCATTTGCTGATCTACCTTCCTGCAGATTTCAGTTGCTATCCATATCAAACACACCTAAACCAATTAATTAGGACCTGAACACCACTTGATAATTACAGGCAGGTGTGTTTGATATGGGTAGCAACTGAAATCTGCAGGAAGGTAAATATCCAGGAACAGGATTGAGCACCCCTGCTATATACCATGGGGGTGAAACTACAAGTTCCTGGAGAACTGCAGCGCAGCAGAGTTTAGTACCCACCCTGCTTCAACATAACCTGTAGATTTCTAACAAGCCTTAATTAGTTTGATCAGGTGTGTTTAATTAGAGTTACAGCTTAAAGTCCCGGTCACACTGCACTTTTCTCCCTATAGACTTACATTCATACGCATGTGAGTACTGCTGACCTGGAATGATAGCTCATGCAACAAATTTCATAATTCGCAGCATTGGAAAGTTCAAGCTTGGAGACCGCTGACATGCGAAATCACATCATGTGATTGCTTGATACCAATCAAACATCAAAACATGACCTCTCTGGCTTGCTTTTTCAATCTCTAATTATTTTGTTTAATACCAATACTCGCTTTGTTTAATTCCACTTCGCAGTGCAGTATGACAGAATTTTGCTTGCTGTGACCGCAGCCTCACTGTGCAGACCTGTAATATGCAAGACAATATTTATATCTGCTGATTTCTTAATTTTGTTATACTTTTTTCTGTTATTTATTTGTTTGGTGCCAAAACAATCAAATAAATTTGTCTGAATCATGTTATGCCTTCTATTTTTAAATAACAGCTAAGAATACTGATTAATTTTAGTAACACTACAATATATATGGCATACAATCAATGTGTATGCAGTATAATAGTGTGATTTGGAATACTACAATACAGTAATTAACTGTATACAGTTTCCAGTTAGTTACCACTGCTGCTCTATTACAATAATTAACTGGCAACACTGTTGCCAGCCACTCACTGTAATGGTTCAGTTACAGTAATTAAGTGGCAACACTGTTGCCAGTTACTTACTGTAACCAAACTTTTACAGTGAGTGGCTGGCAACAGTGTTGCCAGTATTCTACTGTAAAAAAAAACCCGGTAAGGTCTAACAGTGTAGTTCAGTTGTGTTTGATTAGGGTTGGAGTGCAAAACACGGCCCTCCAGGGACTAGTTTGGTGACCCCTGGACTATAAGATATTTATATTCAGATCTGTTCAGTGCTCATGTAGAATCAGCATTTGTGGCTCAACACTGCTATTATACTCTTCTGGGTCAGACACATCTGTTATCAGAGGACTGAAGCTTTTTAATGAGGGATTTTTCATACATAATTTGCCTAATTTTATACAACATTTCATACAACAAAACAGTTATTTTCCAGCTGTTTTCAGAAGTTTATGAATTGTGGTGTGATTAAAACACATTCCTAAATCCCCAGTGTAAATCAATTGACTTTTAGATGTAAAAAAATAAAATAAAAAGACACTTTTAACCTGACTTCATATGTGGTTCAGTTTTATGTGCTAAAATTACTATTGTTATTATAAAATTATTAAATTATCACTATTAGTGATCACCATATTATTGTTCAATATTATTATTATTAAATGACGTAGTGGCGCAGTGGCTCGCGCTCTCGCCACACAGCAAGAAGGCCGCTTGTTCGAGCCTCGACTGGGTCAGTTGGCATTTCTGTGTGGAGTTTGCATGTTCTCCCCATGTTTGTGGGGGTAACCGGAGCACCCGGAGGAAACCCACACAAACATGGGGAGAACATGCAAACTCCACACACAGTCCAAAAACATGTGGTACAGGTAAATTGGGTATTGGGGTAAAATTTTTCGTAGTGTATATCTGTGAATGAGAATGTATGGCTGTTTCCCAGTAATGGGTTGCAGCTGGAAGGGCATCCACAAAAAATTTGTCCAAACAAGAACAAACAGGAATACAAAAATAAGCAAATATAAAACTAGATCACCAAACATGAGGAACAAGCAAATTCCTAAGGCAGCTAAAACACAAGAGGAAAGGGTTTTTAAGGACAGAACTAAATTAACAAACGAGAAACAGCTGTAACAAATACTATAATCAGAAGAGCAAAGGACAAAACAAGCTAGTGCCCTCAAGTGTCCATAGAAGGGCACTGCAATTGGTGTGACACTGCACTGTAGAAATCTGCGCGGGACTGAATTTTTAGTCCTGTTCCCGCCAGGTTTTATTCCGCACCCGATTGCTCCCAGTGTACATCCCGCTACCATGTTTTATTCGAAAATATTTTTTAGCAACACAAGAAATCTGGTCAGGTGCAGCTGCTGACCTCTACTGCATTGTACCCTTTACCACCTTGATCTGCACCTCCAAAACATGTAACTACACCTCAAGATGATGCAGAAAGCAAGTTCTGTAATTGGTCGGTTTGGTAGCTGTAACAACTGTGGGCAGGACTGGGAGCAATGAGAGCAGAAAGAGGCTATTGGTCATACCTGCCAACACTCCTGTTTTTCCCAGGAGTCTCCGGTATTTCAGACCCATCTCCTGTTCTGTTCTGTCTCCCGGAAAACTAACCCCGGAAAAAAATTAAATAAATAACAGATGGAAAGCAAAAACATATTTTTAAAATGTTATATTTGAGCATTATCATACTAGTAGCTGTGTGTTATGGCTGTATATCAGCACTGCTGTTATTTGGCTTGAAGGCAGAGGACCAAAGGTAATAACAGCTGTGCTGATTTAAACAATATTGCACTGATACAAGAGTAATGCAGATTTTATAAAACAGTGGAGCAACACAAGTAAATAAAAAGAGACACCAGAGTGTATTAAAAACTTTTTTTTATGTGAGATAATTTCACCACAAGTTGTTAATCACTGAGCTAAAGCCTCTTACTAGATAAACAACAACAACAACAACATGTTAAATGCTTTAGAACTAGTAAAAAATGCATATCTTTTTTCCATTGAAATATGGACAGTATTGTGATGTTTCAGTGATGATCATACAGAGGACATTGTGCACTGATGCTGTTATTCAGGTTTTAATGCCATATGGAGAACAACATGATCAATCAATCCACAGATACAGGTCTGGATTTCTACATGTGGAAATTCACCAACATTATACTGCAATATGTAGAGCTACACTGTAACACTACTGTATTGTGCAGGAGATAGAAAGAGATTGACTGAGAAATGCCATGTCATTTATTCTTAAAGCACTCCTCTTTAGATCAGTCTCCTCTTCATAAAGCATTTGTTCAACAGTTAAATGGATTTCATGCTGCTTAATGTCAGATCAGTCAAATCTGTTTGCTCTGGAATAAATAACAGATAACTGAGACCAACTATTGCTGCAGGCAGAGCAAGGCACATACAGAATGTCTGCGCTATTTATCTAAAAGATGAACTCTGGCTTTTGAGGATCTCAATCTGTTCTTGTTCTTCTTCAGATTTAAAGTCAAAGCCTGAACTCAGATCAGATCCTGCAGGAGCTGCACTGACTGGAAACACAGTGACTTTGACCTGTAACACTGATCTGTCCACCAGATGGGACTTTTACTGGTACAAAAACACACAAGACTCTGAGATAAAGATGACAAGAACAAACTCCTACAGTATGAAGATTGATTCAGTGTCTGATGGAGGCCAGTACTGGTGTAGAGCTGGAAGAGGAGAACCAGTCTATTACACACAATACAGTGACGAACTGACACTCAGTGTTACAGGTGAGAGAAAACACAGTGTGTGATTCAGTATATCTGTATATCTACATTAAATCTTACACTGAATTGAAAATTTGTTTGTACAGGATTTCCTAAAGCTGTGGTGACGGTGCGGCCTGATGAACATGTGTTCAGAGGAGAAACAGTCACTCTCAGATGTGATATAAAGTGGGGAGGAAACAATGAGTGGACACACAGATGGCAAATAGAGCAAACAGACGAAGATAAACACAATAACAAATATTATAACCAGTATAACCAACATAACAACACTGTGAGCCAAACCTCAACACAAGTGTTGAAGATCAGCCGTGTTGAGGTCTTTCACCATGGTAATTACAGCTGTACAGGACAGATGGGCAATCAAAGCTCTCAGCGCAGTGATGCTGTTGCTCTGACTGTGTCTTTAGGTGAGTGTGTGTGTGTGTTCAGTATTATCAGAGTCTGTATCTGCTCCTCTATGGCTCTGTAACTCCTCATGTTTGGTTCAGATGAAGCTCAGGCAGCAGTGCGAGTGTCTCCACAGCCGTGGCTCACTGAAGGACACTCGGTGACTCTGATCTGTGAGGTTCCAGGCTCCTCTACAGGCTGGACGTTCAGCTGGTTCAGAGATGCTGATCATCTGTCAGACAGCAGCAGAGGAGCTGGAGGCTCTTACACTCTCAGTCCTGCTGCTCTACAGCACACAGGAGTTTATACGTGCAGAGCAGAGAGAGGAGAACCAGCCTATTCCTCACAGAACAGCAGCGCACAGCCACTGTGGGTCACTGGTGAGGGAAATCAGCTTTCAGCAGCTGTCAGAGCTGTTGTTGATCTCGAATGTGCCAGTAGGTTTATGTCAGTGACAGCAGCAGTATATTTGTCTGCGTTTGCTCTCTGTCTCAGGTGTTTCTGCTTCAGTGCGTCTGGTGCTCAGGCCCAGCAGAAGTCAACACTTCTCCTCTGACTCTCTCTCTCTGAGCTGTGACTCTGCTGGATGGACAGTGAGAAGATACACACACACAAACACACAAGATTGTTCAGCACAAACAGGATCTAAATGTGGAATCCAGTCTCTCAGCACATCTGACACTGGAGTTTACTGGTGTGAGTCTGAATCTGGAGAGAAACGCCATCCTCTGAACATCACTGTACATGGTGAGTCCTGTTACTAAGATCACAGCATCTACACATATTCACACCTCAATTACACACAGACATTCTATCTCATTGTTTTCTCATTCTCTTTTGTGTTTAAAGCATGTGTTGTCTATAGGGGCTCAAGAAGGTTATAAATTCTTGAGACTGCAGAGGTAAATAGTTATATATTGAGACTAAACTGTGCTGTGTTGTGTTGTGCTGTGCTGTGCTGTGTTGTGTTGTGTTGTGTTGTGCTGTGTTGTGTAGATGGTGCTGTGATTCTGGAGAGTTCTGCTGATCCTGTGATTGAGGGAGAAACTCTGACTCTACACTGTTTACATCGATCTACAATCTCCTCCATCCTTACAGCTGATTTCTATAAAGACGGATCACTGATCCAGAATCAGACAGGAGAGATGAGCATCCCTACTGTCTCAAAGTCTGATGAGGGTTTCTACTACTGTAAAACAGAGAGCAGAGAGTCACCACACAGCTGGATCTCAGTCAGAGGTTAGACTCACTGCAGTTCTGGAACTCTCTCTGGTGTTTATTGTATAAGACACTTAATTATTATATACAAGTCTGGCTCTTTGTTGTCAGTGTATTATATTAATCTCCAAATGACCTTTAATATAGCTCTATATTGTTCAGTGATGTGTTTGTGTTTCTCTTTTCCATCATCAGATTTAGCAGCTCAGATTTCTGCCTGTAAGATTGTCAGTTTTCTTCTGACTGTTTGTCCGTATCTGTCAGCGACAGTCGTGCTGCTCTTCAAGATCTACAAAGCAAGAGGTAAAACTTCTGTCTGATCCGTCTCCCAAACTCTGATTTCTCCAAACTGAACATAAGTATTTTGTGTTTATTTCACAGCTCAATCTGCTGAAGAGCAAAGTCAGATTGCTGTAGCAGAGGAATAAACTTCAGTCTGATTTGAACATGTTTAACATCTAAAGATTCTGAATGTTGATCTTCAATGCTGTTATTCCTGCAATGTTGAATTTACATCATGTAACGATTTACAACATTTCAGGAAAGAAAAAATGCACATATTTTATTAGTGTTTTATTAGTCTTTAAATGCTGAATGTATTTTGTGGTGTCTTTGTAGCTATTTAATAGTAAATGAATAGTTTTTATTTTTGTATTTTACTGGTTATGTGTTGTGAACAGTTTGTTCGTCTAGATTCTTTTGTTTACATTAGTGAGTGTAATAAAATATTCTTAATTTGATTTACATTTGTGTGATCATTTGTAAACCATCATCTAATGCATGAACAGTGTGGTCATGTTTCAGCTGTAATGAACTGATGGATTTAGAAGCTGAATTTAGTGATTCTGTCATTAAGTTCTCTCATCATACACTTGTTCCAGACCAGTTAGACTGTCTTCTGTTGTACAGAAAATTAGCTGAAGAAGCTGAAAATCTTCAGCCACTGATTTCCATTTATCTCCTTTTAACTTTTACATGTTGATGCAAAACCAATTTAATCATTCTTTGGGGAACTATGCTTCAGTGGATCTATCACACACCTTCAGTAAAACACAAATTTACTCTACAAATAATATTGTACAGATCCACTACACCAGGGTTGTCCAAACTCAGTCCTGGAGAGCTGTGTCCTGCGGAGAGTTTAGCTTCAATCTTAATCAAACACACCTGAACCAGCTAATCCAGCTCTTATTAGATATACTAGAAACGGCCTGGCAGATGTGTTGAAGCAAGTTGGAGCTAAACTCTCTAGGACACTGACCCTTCAGAACCAAGTTTGGACACCCCTGCACTATCTATTCTGAACCCATATTTTCATGTCAGCTCGATCACTAAAAGACAACAAATATCTTATATCTGTTACATTCGGATGAAAAAGTGCAGTGTTATAAAACTCTTTTAAAGACAGTATGGAGGGCTCTCAGAGGAGCATTTGATCCAGCGCTTTACATGGAGCTGGGGTACTTGGTGACGGCCTTTGTGCCCTCAGACATGGCATGTTTGGCCAGTTTCCCGGGCAGCAGCAGACGCACGGCGGTCTGGATAACCCTCGATGGGATGGTGGAGCACTTGTAGTGAGCGAAACGAGACGCCTCAACGGTTTGAAGATGTCGTTGATGAACAAGTTCATGATTCCCATCTCTTTCTAGGAGAATCCAGTGTCAGAATGAACTTTTTTTTATTGTAACAACTTTTTAACGGTACAAAAAATATACTTGATGGGAGTAAGCATTAAACAAATAATATACAAAATGTACTTTTTAAAAATCAAATAAACACATTGAAGAATTCACACAGAATTTAAAGTGATTAGGGTTTTTTTATTTAGAGAGTCTTTAATACTACTAATATATAAGCATAATTCAGTCATCAATACCTTAGAATTCAGTTTCTTATTGGTAAATTTACATTTACAAATAACTAAATAGCAAACTAATAAAATTAATTACATAAAAACAATTTTCCTCTTGACTAGGATACACAGTAAAGCCAAAAGTAAATTTTCCCACAACAGTAAAAGAGGTTTAGAACACTGTCATTTGTTATTAATACATTTTTATTATGCTTTTTTAATGTTTTAGTATGCTCAATGCCAAAACATGTGTAAAGAAGTCTCTTCATATTCATTACAAAAAATAAAATTAACATCAATTGCTGGATAAAATCTGTGGAGAAGTTTATAGGATATTTCTTTAATTTTATTTCTAACATGTATCAGTGGTAACAGCCACACTTTTTATTTTTTTCCAGAAAATCAGTTGATCCTTTAATAAAGACATCCAATAAGACTGAATATAAGGTACAGTAATGATTTCTCTTTGAAAAAGGATACGAATAGCTCTATTATTACGCTTGGTATTTACTAAAACAGGTTTTGCCAACACAAGATTTAGTAATATCAAAAGTCTAAATAACACATGGACCCCTGAAGCAATTGATCTAATAGTTGAAACTCTTGTTGGGTAGCCTAATTGAGATTTTGTAATAGGAGAGGAATTCTTTGTAAGAAAAGAGTATAGCTTATTTATTCTATAACTGACTAACTAGATTAATTTTGTTTTCAAACCATTAAAAAGAAGAGAGATTTGCGCTTGTATGAAATGTGTCTATTATTCTAGATGAAATAGCGATGAGGGGAGAAATTATGCTTATACATTAATGACCATGATATGAGCGCTTGTCTGTTGAAGGCAGATAATTTAACTGTGATTTTGTCTATATTATAATTGCACATCAAAATAAAATTAAGACCACCAATATTTGAAAAGACATGAGGGATAAAATTCCAGATAGAATTGGGGTTTTAAATGGTGTTAAATGCAATTAACCTTAAAGGTGTGGTTTATAGAGGTGAAGTCTAGGAAATTAAGACCACCATTCCCATACAAATTCATAATTAGTCTTTTTAATATTATAAGTTTGATGTTTCCATACTAAATCTAATAGCATTTTATCTAAATCTTTATTAGTGTGGTTATCGAGATATAAGCTAAAAAGGCATATATCAGTCTGGCTAATTCAGCCTTTGTAAGGAAAGCTATCCCCTTAAGAGAGGTCTCTCTGATATCTAAAAATTACAATTTTATTTTTAAGTTTTATCAATAAAAGGTTAAAATTTAGAGGACATCTCTTTAAATCAAGAAGAACCTGCTTCAGCACATTGTAGACGTAGGAAGCTCTTCTTCCTGGTCCTCTTGCGTTTCTTTCCTCCTTAACCGGCATTCTTCCTTGGTTGGTGCGGATTTAGCTACTGTAGTTAAAGTATGAAAACTAAAGGAAAATTCTTATCTGAATGTAGGTTATGCTAATTTGAGAGAGGACTAGCTGCTGATTACGATTGAGTGTTTTCATGACCCCGCCTAAAAAATGAGTTCATTGGACAAAACCTTTCTTCTTTCACAGAACAGCCAATAAAAGGCTTTATAACGTTAACCCCGCCCATCAACAGCTACCACCCGCCTGAAAGTGCACTCTCTTTCTCTTCTAGACTCTAGAATGCTTGTAATGTAATTGTATAATTGCAAAATTATAATTGTAAACTGTTCATAATTCTAACTGCTTTAAAAATGCCAAGATTGCATTGGTTTCTTTAACCATATGCTAATATATTTTAAGGCCTGATGATATGCATATTAAAACACCTGGAAACTCGTTCTTGTAATAAAAGCTTGTGTGGAATAACCAATAATATTCTGTGATATTTCGCCTTAGATGCAGAAAAAGTGTTTAAGCTTGTCTACAGGACCTAGTTGAAACCACGACCATGAGCAGTCCCTTGCAAACGTTACCGGTTACGACTTTCTACCCAACAATTCCTGTAGTTTATTGGGGCGTATCCTTCATTTTGCTATCTTTGTTTTTAAACTACTTCTAAATAAAGCATTTGCTTTATTTAAACAGCTTCGGTAAAACTTCATCTGTGAAAACCACAAAACTAATTACTAAAGCTTTTTTGAGTAGGAGAAAGAGAAGGCTACATTAGAGATGCATGCGCTTTTAAGATGTTGTTGATTGGTTATTGTCTGGTTATTGTTTCTGCGGTTGGCCAATAGCTGTGCGTCTCTTTTTTGTTTAGATTTTAGTGGCATCTCGCGGTCTGACTGCGAATTGCAACCACTGGACTCCTCCGCTCACCCCTCCCCACAGAGGAGCTACGGTGGCCCACAATGGACAGAGAAATGCCAAGCGATAAGAATTCTTTACAAAGATAAATTAAGATTTTATATTTACTTAATAATGGATACATCTTGCCCATCTTTGATTCAGTGTTCATTGACTTAAGCTATTATTTAAATGATAAGACTGTGTCAGTAAACAACCCCACAACATGTTAAACAGAAATTAATAATTTAATGGGACATTCTACCAGAAACGTGCATTATCTGTCCCTGAAATTAAAACATAAACACAGTGAATACAAAGAATTTCATCCCAAAAAAGTGTCTAAGAACGACTGATGGTTGATTTCTTTGAGTTGTTCTGTAGAGGAGGAATTTGTAATTTGGTTCTCGGATTATTTTTCTTTATTAAAAACACTTTACAAATTTACAAATTCCTTCATTGTCCTTGTCCTCAGCACACTTGAACCTACAGATTTACTAGTTTTGTTACGCTAAAAACATAGTTAGAAAAAAAATACTTCAGAAATAGCAAGTTTAAATTGTTTTAATTCACATCAGTTGATTAAAGACATGAAATCATGAATAAATTTTACAAATAAATACTATTTTACAATTGTCCCCATGTTTCTGTCAGCCATGTAACGTTTGCATAACATTTTTTAAAGGTTATGATTCAGAAAAAAAGGTAGTTTCTGTCTGCCGACTGCAAACATGAAGAGGGCGAAACTTATAGTAGAGGCATAACTTGAAGTTGTCAAGACTCACATGTCAAATATATGTTGTTGGCAAGATGGCGCTGTACCCATTACAGTTATCAACACACACCTACCCCAAGCCTAAACCCAACCATCAGAGTTATTAAAGAGCCCATATTATGGGTTTTTGAAAATTCCCCTCCATGTAGTGTGTAACACAGCTCTAAGTGAAGTGAAATATCCAGCTAAGGCTTAAATCTGTTAGTGTACAGTGTTTAAAATGGTTGATTCATCTATAAAAGAGTCGACTCATAGTGCTTTAAACGAGTCGCCTTGATACCGAGTCATTAGGTGTTTCGCCATGACGTATGAACGAAACCAAGTTATTCACGTGCACGCGCAAACCCGGGAGATTTGAACCCAGACACACACACACACACACAAACACACACACACACAAACATGCCGGTCGATTGAAGTCACACTGCAGATGGATATTATCGAGTCTCTACCCAAAGATGAAACCTCAGCATTATAGCCAAGCAGTTGGAAACTACTGGAAACTTCTGGAAACTACATGCTACAAAGAATACTTCATCTGCGTTTGTTAAA